TGATCCTCCTAACTCCAGGACTGGTGCTCTATCCACTACCCCACCTAGCTGCCCCAGGATAGTGGTACCTTTGGCAGAAATAATGAAGTTTAGAAGATGGGAAAGGTTTTTTTGGGGGGAGAGAGGGAAGAGATAATAAGTTCAGTCTTGGATTTATTGAGTTTGATGTATTTCTGAAACACTGTTTGAAATGTTCATCTGTGAATTAGTGATGGGGTCCTGAAGCTCTGAGAAGAGAATCAGGCTTAGAGGCAGGGAGGATGATGAGCTGGTGCAGAAGACCAAGTGTGCTCAGTCAGACAGGCACAAAGGACAGCCAGATATGAGAGTACTAGGAGAAAATGTTGTCAGACAAGCTAAGGAAGGAAAGAGTACCCATGTTGAGGGGTTGGTCCACAGTGCTGACAGCTGAAGAAAGGTCAAGAAGAGGAGGATTGAGAAAAGACTGATGGATTTAGCAATAAACAGATGACTGGTGAACTTTGAGACAAATGTCTCAGTAGAGGGGTGGGTATGGAAACCAGAATGCCTGAAGTTGAAGAATAAGTGAGGGGTGAGGTGGATGCAGAGTGAACCTGTGGCATTGAGGCCACATGTGGCCCTCTAGGTCCTTAGATGTGGCCTTTTGACTGAGTCCAAGTTTTACTGAACAGGTCCTTTTATTAAGGGGATTTGATCTGTGAAGTATGGATTCAGTCAAAGGGCCACACTTGAGGATCTGGAGGGCCACATGTGGTCTCAAGGCCACAGGTTCCTCACCCCTGGTGTAGACTCTTTTTTCTAGGAGAGCTTAACCCTTTAGAAAGAGAGAAGCAGAGATCAGCTGTGAAGAATGTGGAAAGGCTGGACACCTGTGAGGGTAGAGGCATCAGTTTACATGTGACATTGAGGACTGAAAACTGTAAAGGCCACCAGACTGAACTAACCTCACGAGGGGATTTATTTTCCTTACACTTGGAGAGAAGAGCATGCCCCCTGCTCCTTAAAAGGAATGGCTAGAAGGAGCAGAGAGCTCAAGGGAAAGGGTTTTGTTTGTTTTTTAGGATGGAAAAACTTGAGCATGCTTATAAATAAAGGGGAAGGAGTACATTGAACAGGACATTGGACAGGAGTACATTGAAGATGAAAGTGAGACAGGGAATGATATGGACCAAAAGCCAAGGGAAGCTGCCAGGAAGGGATGGGGGGGGGTCAAGGAAATGAAGCCGAAATAAAGGAGAAATGAATAAATAAAAAGGTAGAGTGGTTTCGAATTGTGGGGAATAAGAGATGTGGGAGCTCATTACTATAAGAATAGCAATTACATTATTTGCCTGTGAAAATATTAAGGAAGCTAGGGCAGCTGAGCTGTCGGCTCAGATAGCAGCTGTGGGCCATAGCCCAGAGGACTTCATTACTCCTTTCCTATTCTGGGGTTGCCTGTAGGCAACAGAAACAAAATAGAGAGAACCAGCGTCTCTTGCTCATGTTTTCTAGGCTGACCGGTTAAGTCAGGTGACATAGTGGATAGAGTCAGGAAGACCTGAGGTGGAATCCTGCTCAGATGCTTGCCAGCTTTGCGGTGTGAGGGAATTCACAAGCTCCCTCAGCTTCGGTTTCATCTGCTATAAAATGGGGATAATAACAGCACCTACTTCATTGACTTGTTGTAAGGATCCAATGAAATCATATACATTGAGTGCTTTGAAAGCTTTAAAACACTATATAAATGATATTACTATTGTTATGTTCGCAGAAATGAGTGAAAGCCATCTGAAACCCGGCCGTGTGGGATCTAGTGTTCTCGGTTGGCTCTTTCGTTAGGCCTCGGTATTTCCATGTGTTGTAATATGTGTGCCAGGCTGCACTGTATACTGACTGAGGTCTTGGCCACGGAAATCACAGTTGTGCCTAATTGTTTTACAGGTAAGGAAATTGAGAACCAGAGAGATGAAATACTCCCAGGGCTCTTTCTATGACATCACACTCTTTCTTTGACCAGACTGGAACAGAAAAAAATGCTTGAGCTTGAGAGAATCCCTTTGAGTCCTGCTATCTGATTTTGTTTTAGTGTATTTTTTTTTCTTGCTAGCCATCTTTATTTGTATAGATCAGCTATGAAAAGTGTGGAAAGGCTGGACACGTGTGTCAGGGCAGAGGCAGGCTGGTGTCAGCTTGCATGTGACATTGAGGACCAGACCAAACTGGCCCTATGAGAAGGGATTTGTTTTCCTTACATTGGGGGGGGGAGCCATCCTCCTGAAGGGATGGCAAGTGCATCTATTTGTGACAGAGCAGGAAGGAACCACACTGTCACTACAATGCAAATAAGGTCACAATGCAACAGCCTGGCATCAGTCTCTGCCTCATGAGTTAATCTTTTTGCTGCTTGATAAAGCTGATGAACCCACTGATGAAAGTATCATGAGAGGTCACAGGTACATCTGATTCCAACTCAGGCTCAACTTTCTTAGCCAATTGCTTTCCCAATCCTGCTCCCCACTGTTCATAATTGTTGTCCCAGAAAATACCCCGAAGCAGATCTCGTGCTCATATGTGGCAATTAAAGCTGCAAGGATGAAGTGAGCTTTGTGAAGATCACAGAATCAGTAGAATGCCTTCCCTCAAAACTACTGTGAGGCAGCAGCTTCTTCAGGACCTAGCCACTCTTGCCTGCAGCCTGAAGCTCCTTGCATCCCATCTCTGCTGTCTTCTTCATCAAGGCCTCACTCTGACCTAGCAAGTTGGCTAGAAGGATCTTGTAATGAAGACCATTCTGGATTGGATCTGGATGGGAAAGCAAAGGTCACAAGGAATAATTTGGGTACCCTGGTGAATTAGCACACAGAAAGCATGCTGTCTGTTGATCCATGGCTCTCCCCATACAATGGAGACTGGATTAACCTGGGCACCTGACTTGGTCATGTACTTCCCATTGGATTCCATGACACTGTTAGAAGTAGACAGTTAATGTACCAGCTGCCTCGCATTGCAAGCAGCATAGGGACATTCTTCTGTACTGGGATGGAGTGGAAGTGTTTGTCCATTCACTGAACCTCCAGACAACAGCTACTTAAAGTTGTCAAAAGCTACAAGCAGGGCAATAGAGAGGCCAGAAACTGACCACAATGAGTAACACACCAACTCAGACCCAGAATTCAATCATTTTGAGTAGCAAGCTCTTTAACTTTCAGTAGACAAATCCACAAGGCACTTTGCCATAGCTAAAGGATCCTTACCTGCCTGAAGGAAACTTTTCTTGACTGTCTCTGCTTCGGTGATGGTTTCCCGTGTGACAAATGTCTTTGACACAGTGATGAAGAGGGAACCTCTGGTTGGAGGGCAGCAAGAGTTATGGAGTTAAAAATTGTCCAACCTACAATAAAAGAAACTGAGGCAGAACTCTGAGCTAATGGCACTTTGTTAAAGGGCCCATGGTCCCCTCTAATGAAGTGGACCTCAGATCTCCTCATGATCTAAGATGCCCCTGGCCCCCAGGATCTTATTTGTATAGGGCTTGATACCAAAAAATGCATAAGAGGCATGGCAAAATACAGAATTTCACTGGTTGATGGACCTTACTCTTGAGGGCCAAAAATGACATATCAGCAGGGGGGGGCCTCAGGTTGGGGAAGCACAGGGCATCTCCACTGACTAAGTGGTCATAAAATGGTCACCTGCTCATGTTGAACAAGAAAGAGTGGTCTGGAAGCATAAAACTAAGTTGGGGGACTTTCCAAAGAATCAAGGCACCCCACCTACGCTATGCTTGGACATGGAATTTGAACAAAGCAGGATGGAGATATCTGTGTCAGCATTCTTGTGATTGTGCAAATGAGCGTAACTGGTAAACAAGTCGTGACCATTGCATTAAACTTTGAGGCCTACTATAAGAACCTATCTTATCTAATTATCCCTGTATGATTCATGTGAAATATCAAACTGATTATTAGTAGCTGGAATAGAGCAGGGGTCCTAATGAATCGCATCTCATCTGGTCTTGGCAATGTGGGTACCACCAGTATTGGAGACAGTACTGCCTCCTTGTGACTTCAAGGTTCTTGTTCTTGTTGGCAGACCCAAGTCAGAACCTCCAAGGCCAATGTTGATCAGATCTTTTAATAGTCTTCCCTGTGTAGCACTTTCACTCTACCATGGGCACACTTGACAAATGCTTTGATTTTCTCCAATGCTTTGTTCACCTCAGATTTCATGTCCTTGCCCCCTATCAGCATGGTTGTGTTGGAGTCATTCTGCAGTGCCATGTAAAAGGCACTTATCCCGGGTACAGTGGCGCAGTAGATAGAGCACTGACCCTGGATTCAGGAGGACCTCAATTCAAATCCATTCTCAGACCAAACACTTGACACTTACTAGCTGTGAATTCACCACATTGCCTAGCCAAAAAAAAAAAAAAAAGAAAAAAAAGGCATTTATCCCCCTATAATCTAATAAGTTTCTGTGAACTCCGTGAAGGCTGGGACTGTGTCTTGTAGAAACCTTTTTATTTCCCTCTATGCCCGGCACACACACATGCGTGCACAAACGCACACACACACACATATACCCCACTATCTAAAATGAGGGGGTTAGATTGAATGTTCTCTGAGCTCTCTTTCAATTCTACCATTTTTTGACTCTAAATGGAACCATGTTTGTTAGGGTAGTGGCAGCAACAACAGAGACCCCAGGATGGGGACCCGGAGATTTCAAGAGAAACTGGGGATGTGGGGAGGAGAAGCAGAAACTTAAGAATTTCTTAGGAACTTCAGAGCTGCAAAGTAAATAGGCTATTTCCCAGACGTTCAGTCTGTTGTGTATCAATGATCTCATCCCTGTCCAGATAAGGATAGCCAATTCAATCTGCAGCCCTGCCAGAGTGATTAGAGACAGAGATCCATGAGAAAATTTTGCCATATCAATCTGGATATGGGCCGGCCCAGTCTGCCCTAGGCTTTCAATAAATCTGAGGCAGAAATCCAGGCTGACTACTCAGGCCAGCCTTGTCAGGAAGAGATGGCCCCAGGGTGAAGGGGAGAGGTAGCAGAAAGCTGGAGCTCAGATTGTGAAGGTAAGTGACAGGGTATTATAGAATAAATGTAATTTGCTTGCTTGGCTATATGAACGCATGTATACATGCATGTATAGAATTTTTTGCCAGATATTCAAATGGATCTGTGATCTCATCAGTGATGATATTGTTTCCATCATGAGGCAGCTAGGTGGTGCAGTGGATAGAGTGGCTTGCCTGGAGTCAGGAAGACCCATCTTCTTGGGTTCAAATCCGGCCTCAGACACTTCCTAGCTAGCTATGCAAGTCACTTAACCCTGTTTTTTATCTCAGTTCCTCATCTGTCAAATTATGTGGAGAAGGAAATGGAAAACCACTCTAGTATTTTTGCCAAGAAAACCCCAAATGGGGTCAAGGAAGTCTGACACGGCTGAAACAACAACAGCAACAAATTTCAAAATAATTGCTTTCCTTTGTAATCCTATGTATTGTATCTTGGGCATTTAAAACTATTAGTCTAGAAAGAGTTCCATGGGCTTCACCAGACTCCAAAAAAGTCTATGGAAAAAAAAAAGGTTAAAAACTGCTAATGGAAAATCTCACCATCTGTGAGGAACTGCTCTTTGACTTGGATTCCAAGCTGGATATCCTCCATGACAGTAGTATACACCTTAGTGAAAATATATTTCCATTTTATGCCTCATTTGACATGAATGCTTAAGAACATTCTCAAAAAGTAATGTCTGTTATGGCTTTCAAGGAATTTTTTCTAATTTTGCCATTCATGGCAGACAGCTTGTTTGAGGAAAGCCCTCAAGGTGATATTTTGTTCTATGATACAAATGTCCTTGTTCTTGTGTTTTTAGGACCTGATCACATGTTCTCTACATCTTTCACTCAACTGTATGTCAAGATGTGATCTACTATGGAATACTGCTGGCAAAAGCCTTTCTGTTCCTTTCCAACACCCTTACCAGAATATCTACAATGTATGTATAAACTTTTCTCTTAAAAATTTAATAATACAGAAAGAAAAGTAGGCATATAGATCAGGAGTTAGTGATGTTCTCCTGGTTGCTATTTTTTTTTTGGTAGTAATAAGGTCTGAGACTTGTTCTACTCCTTTAGTCTACTCTCCTTTTCCCAATACCTTGAGAATCAGTCCCTCAAAGCCCTTACAATTGTATTGCCTCCAGCACAGACCTTGGTCTGGTCCAGCGCTTCTCCTGTTTTTGTTCCCTTTGGTGCTGTTTCTACATCCTCTACATCACAGTCCAGGAATGGTGGCTCCACCAACCTTGATGGTGAAAAGAGTTAATTCTCAAAACCATTGTGAATCTTTTCTATATTTTGCCTATTTTTTGTCCAGTTTAAAGTTGCACATTTCAATGCTCTCAGGATAATTTTGTTTAGCTACATCTTTTGCAAGGTCTCTTTAAAATGGTTTTACCCTCCACTAAAGAGGCAGCTGGTAAATCTAGCCTCAGATACTTACTAACGATGGAATCCTGGACAAGCCAATCAACCGCTGCTTGCCTCAGTTTACTTAGCTATAAAATGGGATATAAATAGCACCTACCAAACAAGGTTGTTGTGAGGATCAAATGAGATAATAATTATAAAACATTTAGCACAATGCTTGGCACATAGGTAGGTGCTATGTAAATATAATATTATTATGGCATAACTATATAATAAGCACATAGCATATTACTATAGTATATCATTATATAATATATTTATATCATAATATAGGTTATATATCACCATATAATACTATATAACATATTATGACATGCAGTAAATATAGTATAAATATAGTAGGGGCTACATAAATGCTATTCCCTTTCCCTTTGCTTCTCTCTGTTTTATGTGATAATGGTCCTAATAATCTTCCACTGTTCTTCTCTGTTAAGAACTTACATATATTCTAAACCAATGTTGCCCTTGGCTACCTTATCTCTTGCTTGGCTAGTAAGTCAAATGTTTGCTAAGATACTTTCTAAATTCTTTTAGTCTCCTAGTTACAGTGAATGATTTATATTGATTCAGCTTCTGTGTGACATGATTATAATTGGTGTGAATGCCTTTTCTTCCATCCATATTTCATTTTCCACCATCAATAACTTGTTTAAATAGGCAGGCTAGAGGGATTTTAATTGCAGACCATATCTTTTTCATTTTTATTCTTTTTCTAGCTACATATTAATTTTAATCTTTGCTCTAACAAATCAGTCATCTGACTGTATACAGACAGCTGATTCAGGAGTGACTCCTGTATCAGCCATGAGTCACTTCCTGTCAGCTAAATATAATCAATTTCATTTTTTGTGATGTTATTCAGTGTTACTATATCTAGCACCTTCCAATTTTTTTCTTAAAGAAAATATTCATGATGGATAGGAATGAGGCTTTTGTATAATCTACAGGACTTTCTCATTCCTTATTGCTGATTTATATTTGCCAATATACCATATTTTTCTCCATCTTTACTTGTTCTTATCATTGTATTGAAGTCATTAAGTATCAGAGTAGAGACTGATTTAATTTGGAGGATCTTATCCCCTTCCTACTAGAATTTCTCCAGTTTTTCATTTTGCACAACCCATGTTGCTTTGCAAATTTCACTTGTTTTCATGATGGCCTTTTTGCAAATTCTTAGCCTGAACATGACAATATGAGATGACTGAATGTTCCGTGAAATGATATTTCTTGTTGCCTTTGGGCTCACAATAAAACCAGCTCTGCCAACTTATGTATTTGTTTCTCCAAGGATCGCTAGCTAGCTAACAGATAAATCATTTATTAGGTGCTTACCATGTGCTGGGCACTGTGCTAAACTTGCAGATACAAATACAAGGAAGCGAGACAGCACTCTGCCCTCAAATAGCTCCCATTCTAATGGGGGAAGATAACACGTAAAAGGATGCCAGAGAGGAGAAAGAGGAGGACAGTACCCATAGCAGGGCGTGGTGAGGACACAGCCAGAAGTGCAAGGCCTAGGCCCTGGCAAGATAGGACAACAGTTTACCTAACAGAGGTGGGAGACCCAGGGGAGGAGAACCTGTGAACTCTTTTTCTATTTAGTTGCAACATCTTTCTGTTTTCTGGGTTTGTTGATAGGCCATATTGGTGAAGGTGAGGGAGAGGCAGAGGGAGATGAATAAGAAGATGAGCAATTTTTTTTTTTGGTTATGCAATGGGGTTAAGTGACTTGCCCAGGGTCACACAGCTAGTAAGTTTTATGTGTCTGAGGCTGGATTTGAACTCGGGTCCTCCTGACTCCAAGGCCGGATTTCTAGCTACTGAGTCACCTAGCTGCCCCAAAACAAGCAATTATTAAACACATACTATGTGCCAAGGCTAAACAGTGTGAAACATTTTACAAATATTACCTAATTTTCGTATGAGAACAGCAACATTAATAACTGGTGTTTGCATAAAATTTTAAGGTTTACAAAGCACTTTACATATATTGTTTCATTTGGGCTTCAAAACCAGCTCTTCCTAGCTCCAAGCTCAGTGCTTGATCCCCTTGTCCTGCTGCTCCTACATACAAAATCTCATTTGAGCCTGTGAAGTTGGTACCACAAGCATTATTATCCCTATTTTACATAGGGGGAAACTGAGGCTTGGAGTGTAACTTCCCCAAAGTTACATAGCTAGTAAATGTCAGAGCCAGGATTTCAACCCAGGTCTCCTTGATTTCAAGTCCAGCATCTTAGCAATGTGCCCCTCCTTCTTCCTTCCAAGCCCTTTTTGGATATCCTTAATGACAGCCTGTTCAGATCGGAAATAGTCCTCCCAAGGAATAGTTGAGCCAGACAGCTTAAGCCCTTTGTCCAAAGTTGCCTGGGAGTTGGTGAAATGATGGGTTGTGATTTCTTTCAATAATAGATGGCATTGTCCTGACATGCAAACGAATTTATATCCAATCTTAAGAGAATTCAGATGTTAAACCTTAAGAAAACCAGGCAGAGGATTTAAAGCTATTGAATAAATCCAGTGTCCTGTTTCTGGTAGGGTTCTCTAAGTCTCCTATAGAGGAAGGGTGGGATGGAAAGGCTATAGTTTCCAACTTCTAAGAAAGTGTTATCTTGGCTACCAAGAGTCTGGTAAGTGTGCATATGGAAGGAGGGGTGATAGACAATAGTTGACCTTGGGACATGTGAGTATAAATACTGGTGGTAAAACGACCATCTTCACTCTATAGGGGTTTGTGTGCAGGGCTCTGCACTAGACCCCCTGAAGAAGGATAGTATGAAGGATAAAGGGGGGACATTATGCATCACGAGTATTGAGTTTTTCTGCTGAATCTGGAAAAGCCAAGAAGGCTTGGGTATCCTAGCCATTCTTCCATTGTCTCCTCTTTACCTCGGGGTTTCCTACTGCATTTCTTTGAGTATATCTCAGAACTTGACTGCCAAACTTCCACAGTGCCTGGCGTAAGTAGGCACTTAATAAATGCATGTTGCTTGAATGGATTCTGTTATTTTCCTTCCAATACCCATTGCAGCCCTACCCTTCCAGTTCTTTTATCCCATGTTGTTCAGTTGGGCTAACTCTGTCTAGCTCTGTCTCTTATCTCCAGTGGTTTTGGAAAAGATAGGCTAAGAGGGAGGAAGGTAGTCAATTGTCCCTCTGGAGTTTCTTGAGATGTTCATGGCATAACTGCTGAACCCTGACAAGACCATTAATCCCTTCTGCTGCTGATATACACCCAGGGCCTGCCCTTCCCCCTTCTCACAAATTCAATAAGCAGGGACATATAAAAATTATAAGGTTCATTTAAAAAGCAGTAAAGAAGGGATTTCAATTTCCTTTAAAATCACAACACAATCATTTTTCCACTTTGGCTGTGTGATAGGTAGACATTCCTGCTTCCTACCTTGGCCCTAGAAAGGAGGGTCCCATAGGACCTCATGGCTAACTAAGGGAGCAATGAGGGCTTTGTGTAGTCTCATGTATGTGTTGGGAGTAGGAGCTGAGAGAGATGAAAGGGACCAGGAATGATCAGGACAAAGCGACTGAGGGGGAGGACTTGAGCAATGACAAAGTGAGGTATTTGTGCATGTGCCCATGTGGTTTGTGTTTATGTATGTCTCTGTTTTTGTGGGCATAATTCTTTGTGCATGAGAGTTCCCTGGCCTGAACCTCTTTGGATTTCTCAGTATGTGTCCCTATGTTCTAGTCCATGTCTACACATATAACTGCCAGGACGCTTGGGCTTGACCTTACCTGTCCTGAGCATGAGAAAAAGTCTGGGATTGGACATACCCAGTAGGGAGAGAGGAGGGGGGCATTTCATCTCTTGGCTCCAGGCATTTTCTCTGACTGTCCCCCTTGCCTGGGACATTTTCCCTTCTCATCTCCATCTTCTACCTTCCTCACTTCCTTTAGATCCAAACTGAAATCCCATCTTCTGCCAAGAAGCCTTTCCTAACCCTAATTCTAGTGCCTGCCCTCTGTTAATTATTTCCTATTTACCCTGTGTGTAGCTTTTTTGTATAGATTTGCTTGTTGTCTCCCTCATTAGATTGTGAGCTCTTTGAGGACAGGGATTGTCTTTTGCCTCTTTTTGTAACTCCAGCACTTAGCACAATGCCTGACACATGGTAGGGGTGTGATAAATGTTGATTGATTGGCTTTGCAAGAAGGGGGTGGATCAAATGAATACCTTCATCCCAAGGGGCTACCTGAAACAAGACCCCTGAATTCCTGCTTGATGTGGATGGGTTGGTATAAGTATAAATATGTATATTTGTGTGTGTGTGTGTGTGTGTGTGTATACACACATACATATATATACACATACATATATATGTATATATGTGTGTATGTATGTATATATATATATATATATATGTGTATATATGTACATATGCATTACAAAAAGTGAATATTGAATAAACCTATTTACCCAAGCAAATAGCAAACAGAAATGAGAGTGTTATAGATTAGGACATGCCAGAAAACATGGGAGTAACTG